GTTTTTTGTGCCGGCCGAAGGACAGCCGCCCCGGCAGGGCAGGAGCCGAGGGCAGCTCGACTGGGCCAAGGTGGGGTTGTCTCAGCAGGGTTTGTGTTCTACTGTCTCCTTCTGACAACCTGTTTCAAATAAAGTTCTCTGTAATGTTCACTCACTGCCTGTAGTTTATCACTTACACAGCACACAGCAACTCCACCGTGGACCTGAACTGCCCAAGAAACAGCCACCAAGGGCACAACGCAACCACCATGCCCAGGGGGTCTGCTACAGGAGAGCAGAGCCCTCGGAGCCACCTTTTCCCTGGGATCCCAGCAGTGACAGGCCCTGCTACCACCCAAGGCACGGACCCACCACCCACCCAAGATACAGCCACCCAGGGCACGGACCCACCACCCACCCAGGGCACAGCCACCCAGGATACAGCCACCTGAGGCACAGACCCACCACCCACCCAGGCCACAGCCACCCGTGGAATGGACCCACCACCCACCCAGGGCACAGCTCTGCTCTTCCCGTGCCCTGGCAGGGGCTGCACCTCCGGCAGCTGCATGGGCACAATGTCAAGGGCAGGCACCTTGAGGACAGGGCAGGGACTCCCGCAGCATAGGGACGGGGTCTGTCAGGGTGTGTGAGCTGGTGGCCGATGCCTGCATGTCTCTTAACAGAACCACAGCACAAGGAACCGGGGAAGGAGCAGGAGCAGAGGGCTCAATGCACACACAGACAGCCCAGCCTGGGGCATGCAAACCATACAATGTGAAAATCACAACATTGGGCAGATTGAGGTGGGAGGGGAGCTGAGGGGATGGCGACAGACACAAAGGGTCTTAGCTCGACTGAACTGATGGTGCAGGTGACAATTACTTTGGCAACCACATCATAAATACCAAACCGAGGTACTCAAGTCAGGGTTCACGGCAGGCTTTTGCTCTGGCCATGGGAAGGCCGTGACTGGCCAAAGGCTCACTTCTGCTTTTACCTTATTTCTTACCTATGGTTTCCTAAAGAATCCACTGCCCCCTGAACTGCTGCCGGACAGACGACGAGGTGACGCACAGAGCAAGCTGACAGGTCTGGTCCACAGCACCCAGCCAGGAAAGAACAGAGTCTCCTGATCAGCAGAGACCAGGAGCTTTCCCGCCCCAGCACTTGTGTCGAGTGGCAGGGCACACAGATAAAGATAAACCTGGCACAAGCTTTTCTCCGCTGTTTTCTCTTGGCTCCGCAGCCCTGCGCCAGCATCTCCCCATCCGTGTTCCTGACGGCCCAGACATGCCACAGGCAAATGTTTCATTCTGAGACATACGAATTTTAATATTAAAATAACTTTATATAAAAATACTTTTGGAGGCTGATGGCGAGCAGTCTTCTATGCACCCCAACAGGCATCCCAGCCCTGCGGCCGGGTGAGATGGAGCCAGAGCAGCGCCAGAGCAGCAGGCGCAGGGCAAGGCCTGCTGCAGAGCACCGGAGGCAGCTCCAGAGCTGGAGGAGCTCCCTGGCACTCCCCCCAGTCGCTGCTCTCGCTGTGGAAACGGCCTGCAGGGAAACGCAGCCCCTGACGCTGCTGAGCGAGAGGGGCTGTGCCTGAGCCAGAACAGTCCCCAGCCACCTCCAGGACCTGCGCAGGGCGGCAGCCGGCGCCGCTCACCAACGGGCCTAGGCCCCCAGTCCCTTCGGGGCAGGTTCAGAGCAGCCCCACGCTAGATCTCCCCCAAGTCCTCGTACACAGGTGACAAGCTGCACTCATCCACAGACTGGTCCTTC